CTGACGTGACTCTTGAAATTGGTGACGTGACTCTTAGTAAAGTTGATGTGGCATTTTTAGAGAGCCAAAATCCTGAGAGGCCGGCGAGAATTGCACAGCAAAATCAGTTTCATGACAACAATTTGAGAATATTCTATTTTATATGATAAAATGCCGAATTGGGTTTGGAGTTCACCAAACACATAACATACTTTTTACTGAAGGTGGAACAGAGAAAGGCCATTAAATAATCAATGGGATTTGTATGAAAGGAGAGAAGATTTGATTAATTGGGTTTGGAGTTGGGGCGGCTTTTTTATTAGGACTCGAACCCTCCACTTTATCTTTTGAAATGCTAAAAAGCACCATTAATTTACACGGTCATTAAAAAATCATCACCACCTATCCATATTTAATCGGGGTTTTTGACAATCATGTTTTAGAACTTTTAATTAGTTATGAATAAAGATATAATCTCTTTATTTTAAAGTGTTTAAATCAATGCGCCAATTTATAATTGGACTTATTACAAATTCAACTTTTAACAAATCCCAAAAAACTGTTAAATGTGAAACCCCATAGATTACTGTGACCGACTTACCATCAATGCCATTACCGGCCAGTTGAATGAATGTCAAATACAGTGGTTGTCATCTTTCTCATTGCAAAACGTTGTTCTCTCCCTCTACTTCAGGCCCTTCTCTTTGATACTTCAGGAAATCTCTCATTTATTTATTCATCAAAGAGAAGGGTCTGTTAATGGATCACATATCATTGAAGCGTTATAAGTTCCGTGAGCGGAGGGATTGCAATTTGCAAACCAGAGTCATGTTCACCAGACGCCGCTCATTCGAGTAAATGCACCATGACGCTCACTTTAGCAAAGTTAATCGCAACTCTCAATTTCGATGTCATTTTATCTTAACTTTCAAAGTGATTTTCAAGACTCTCATCGTTTTCTTCATCGTTTGGGAGAAGAGAGAGTATATTGGATTGTGTTTACAATATGAATACAGAGGTTTAGAATAGGTGACAGAACAAGGCAATATCTATCTTCTAATTTTGTAAAAAATCAATGTGAATACAAAATTTATGCGCAAATTTCTGAAAGAGTATATAGTCTCTTTCTTAAGCAAATAAAATTGATATATATATATATATGGATTCAAAAGCACTGAATCTCTGTGATGTAACAATTGTGTTTGTAACCAAAAATATCTAATCTATATTAAAAGAATAGATTTGAACTTGATAGTGAGAAATGAATTAAGAACCACCAATTTTGAAAGTGCCTTTGGGAAAAAATTAGCTACAAAAATCTGTTAGGCTATGGAAGGTGGCGTTTGGGATTCTATTTGGTTGTGATTAGTAATTTTCTCATGAGCTACTTTGGTTTCAAAGAGCTTCTGAGTTGTGAATGAAGTAAAGGGTGAGGTTGACCCAAAATTGCAAACCGAAATCGCAAAAGTGGCAAATAAAAAATACCAAAAAAATCAAATAGGGCAAGTAAGTGTATGAGTGTATTAGTGTGTATATATGTGTAGACGGTAAAGTATTCAGATCTATAGATATACATGTATGTATATATATATATATATCTCTACAAATATTTGTATCAAAACAAAACCTTAACTTTCTAAGGCAAATAGAGGAGTTGTTTGGATTCAGCAGAGAGAGAGAGAGACAGAGAGAGAGGCGGCGAGATATACGTGTGTGTGTGTGTAGTTATATACATATACATATATGTAGATATGTAAGAGAGGGAAGAAAGAGAGCCCACTCCCAACGATATTTTTAAAGGAGGGCAAAAAAGTAACTTATCAATACACAATTTCTTCTAATTTTTTCTATTAAACAAATGATCTAACTCTAAAGTCAAAAACGTAAATTCATATTAATTCACCACTATCAAACAGTCAATTTGGGAGTTTTTGCTTTATCGCGATTCGCGACACCTTCTATGTACCTGCACAAAATGACAATCTCATGGGCACTTTGTGTAATTTGCCGTACTTCATACCGTCCTCCCTCCGTCTCACAATCAAAAAAAGTTAAATGCCCTCCAGCCTGGCCTCCGGTATTCTGACATTATTCACCTGTATACTCTTCATTATTTACCTCGAACTCATGCAAAAAAAATTAAATGCACTCCAGCCTGGACTCCGGTATTCTCTTCATTTCTGTTTTGACCAAACATTGTGATCTAAACTTAAGATCTTACATAAAACAATTCGTTTTTTTTTTTTTTTTTAACCAAATTACATAAAAAAAATTCATCATCATACACATTGGATGCTTTCAGACTCGTTCGTTTTTTTTTTTCTTTTTTCTTCTTTTTTTTTCACATATGCATTTAGACTTGAGTCCTATAAATTATTTTTTGAAAAACACTTTCAAATGAGTTTAAAATTTATAAATAATAGAACTATTTTTCATTATTGTCCTTTGTTACTAAATTACCATTAGTAATTTTTTTTTTTCACTAAAATACTCCTTTTATTTTTAGGTATTACTTACACAGTTACACTATCTCTTCCAAATGAATTACATTAGAGTCGAGAGTACAAATTTTTTCTCTATTTCATATTTGTAACTAATGTCAATTAAATCTTAAAACATTTAATAAATTATTTCAAATCCACTTTCTGTAAATATTCACAAGTTAAAATTCAATGAAATACTTATCATGTGTTACATTTATGAATTAATTTAATTATTTTTGCATTTTTTACTTCATCTTTCTTTTATTAAAAACATATATTTCTCTTCAATTATTTGTTTTCAATGAAATTTTTAGCAAAATTATTTGGAAAAAATTAATTAAGCAACATACATTGGATATGAAAAGGGTAAAAGAAGAATTATATTAGTTATATAACTGGGAATTTTTATAAAAGGTAGGACTTCATTGTTCTAAGAAAACTGTTTTTAAGACTTGTTTATCCAGAATGTAAAAATAGGACTAATTTTCGTATATAACAACCTTGAAAAGCAAATCCAGTTTGTAGTGTTCTCAAAAGTTCTAAGTTTTGAATGTCAAAATATATTTTACAATTCCATTTTATTCTAAATTTGTTTTGATTTACGTAAAATGTTCAATAATAATATACCCTTTTTATCTGTCTTTTATACATTTATAAGCATGTACATTTACAATATCAATCTTTTGAACGAGTCTGGCTCGGTGCCAGATTGATTTGAGTATGTATCTTTGATGCTTGGAGGTGAAAGTATTGGTGGTAGTATCAACAATACTGTTGAGCCATATATATATATATACACACACATATGTGTGTGTTTCTATGAAGTGAAATAAGAGATTTCGAGATCAAATATGTGAAGAAATGGAGGAGATAGGGAGAGAACGGCCAGAGAAGGGAGAACCACCACAGCGATGAATAAGAGAGCAAGGGAGAAAGTGGTGTTAGGCCATCTGCAGCGCTATAGCCAAAGCCTAATTTCCACGAGCGTAAAGGGCCTTTGGGCGTGCAGCGGTATGGTTAAATTGGTGAGGCCCAATTTTGATCACCGGCCGACTCGCTGCACCGGTGTGGCTAAATTGGTGGGGCCCAATATTGCTCGCGGGCCGGCTCGCGGTATTCAGCGAGCCGGCCAGCGATCGTGAAATTTTTTTTTTTTGTTTTTTCTGCCCCAAAACGTCGCCGTTTGGAACAAAGCTTTTTTGTTTTTTTCTCCTGCTACTGTAACAGTGCGCCAACAGTGCCTTAAGGCACTGTTTGGCAGGAATTTTTTTTTTAAAAAAAACCTTAAAATAGGTTATTTAGAGCTCTTTTTTTTGGGAATAAAACAAAATAAAATTCATTAAATAAAAAATATATTGTTTAGGCATTGTTTGTCCAAAAAAAAAAAAAAAAATTGGCCCAAAAATAAATTAAAAAACTTTTGTTTTTTCCCTTAAATTTTTTTTTTTATTTATTTTTTTGCTTTAAATTTTAAATGTGTAGGCCAAATAGTGTATTTGGCCGTTAAGGCACTGTTTTTACAGTACCAAACAGTGCCTTAACGGCTATAATTTTTTTTAAAAAAAATTAAATTCAAATTTTACCTTTTTTTTTTTTGTTTTTTTCCCTTAAAATTTGGTTTTTTTAAAAAAAAAAATTTTGCTTTAAATTTTAAATGTGTAGGCCAAATAGTGTATTTGGCCTTTAAGGCACTATTTCTATAGTACCAAACAGTGCCTTAATGGCTATAATTTTAAAAAAAAGTTTTAAAATTCAAATTTTTTAACTTTATTCAAATAAAAAAATTAAAATAAAATACTTATTTTCTTATTCCAATCTTAAAAAACCATTACATAAAAAAAAATACTAGTACACGAAATGTCATACATCTTAATATAAAACAAAATGCAACATAAATTAAACATCTTCATAAGTATAGCAGTTCCACAAATTTTCCATCAAATCATTCCTCAACCGCGTATTTGTCTCTCTGTTACGAATCTGAATTTGGCGAGAGGATATGTGTGCCGCTAAAACCGATAGGCATTGACTTAAAATGAGAATCGGGATTGTATCCTCCGGTGGCGGAATCCATCTTTGAACATTTGCGTGACGCTCATCTTCGATGATCATATTGTGAAGGATGATGCACGTTTTCATTATGAAGCGCAAGTCATCTTTCTCCCAGTAACGCACTGGTTCTTGCGTTATTGCCTACTTGATCTGCAATACCCCAAAAGCCCGTTCCACATCTTTCATTGCTGCTTCTTGTCGCTGAGCAAATAATTTTTCTTTTGTAGTTGTTGGATGCGGGATGGTTTGCATCAAATTTGCCTACTTAGGATATATACCATCAAACAAGTAATACCTCATTCTATAGTGATGTCCATTCACTACATAATTAATCGGAGGTAATTGGTGATTGACAATACCATTGAATACCGAGGAATGATCCAACACATTTATATCATTGTGTGAACCCGGCATTCCGAAGAATGCATGCCAGATCCACAAATCTTGTGAGGCAACTGCTTCCAATATGAGAGTTTTCTTACCAGATCATCCCCTATGTGTGCCTTGCCACTCTACTGGGCAATTCTTCCACTCCCAGTGCATACAGTCGATAGAACCAAGCATACCCGGAAATCCTCTCTGCTCCCCTTCTTCAAGCAGCCGTGCTATGTCGGCTTCGTTGGGTGGGCGCATATACTCCTCTGCATACACAGCAACAATAGCATTACAAAATGCCTTCAAGCATTTAATGGCAGTGCTCTCGCCGATTTTAATATACTCATCATAGTTGTCATCTTCTGTATAGAAAACAACCCCAGACGACCAGTCGCATCCTTTTTTTTTTGGACAAAGTAGTCATCATAAGCTTTGACATCATTAAAGATACGAAGAAAAAGTTCTCGTCGCATCCTGAATCGCCTATGAAAGTACTCAGGTGGATATGTGCAATTGTCGTTGAAGTAGTCTTTCATTAGTTGATAGTGGCTTCCCTTTCGGTCACGATGAATGTACCACTTCTTTTTACGGACTGAAAATACTTGCTCAACTATCTCTGGCCTCACAGAATTCATAATCTCATAGAATTCGTCTTGATCTTGTTGAATCAACGCCCCAAAAGGATCATCTTCCGAAGAGGACGACGAGGAAAATGAAGAATTAGAGTAAGTTAAAGGAAAAACTTGTGATGACGAAGCCATTCGAATTTCGAAATTGAAAAAGATGGATGATGATATTTTGCTACAATGGTGAGAGATGAATATAGTGATGATTTTCAGATGAGCAAATAAGTTTCAATTTATAAGATGAAAAATATAACTGTTAAAAATATAGCCGTTTAGGAAAAGTTAAATAAATAAATAATAAAAATAAAAAATTAATTTATTATTATTATTATTTTTTTTTTTTTGAGGGCGAAAATTCGGAGAGCCTGATGGAGTATATGTTTCTGGAGAGCGAAAACTGCTGACGTGGCTCTTGGAATTGCTGATGTGGCTCTTGAAAAAGCTAATGTTGCATTTTTAAAGAACCAAAATTCGAAAAGGCTGATGTAGATGGCGATAAAGATACTGATGGTACCTACTAGGATACTGTCAGAGGTGAATGAATGTGGGAAGATAAAGAGGATATACGATTACAATCTTTTCTTTAAGGATGTTTGGCATCAGATATAATAATTCAAAGATGTTTGGTTACATGTATATAACAATTCTACTATTACATATAACCATATAAAAAGATGTTTGGTTACATATATATATAACAATTTTCCTATTAGTATTATATAAAGCTTTTGTTTGTATTTTTGTAAAATTTGGTCGTATAAGTTTTTGAATTACGGAGTATTTGGTAGACCTAATTTGCATTTGTGATTATGATTAACCTCTCCTAATTTACATGTATAAAGTAAAGTGTAGGTTCCATCATCCATGACGGATGTCCGGTAAGGTTAATAATGATGGACAAAATCTTAAAAAGGTCGGTATGATTTATTCAAAATAAAATGTCATTTTCAATAAAGAGAGATTAAATTTTTTATCTGGTAGCGGGAAGCGGAAGCCAACGAAGGCTGCTGTGGGTTCATTTTCCTTTATATTTAATTTGATACAGGGCGCAAATTTGCTTTTAAAAAGGGAAGTGAGTTATTTAAAGTGTAATTACTCTAGTGACCAAATTTAAATATAATTGTTATTCAGTAGTAACGCAATATTTGAGATGAAATTATTGGCAACTCTTATTGACCATTAATGTCCCTGTTACGATTACAATTTTTTATGAGATTATTTTACAGGGAGGGGGCTTACCATCGAAGGGGAAATAGGTTTTAGAGAGGGAAAGAGTGTGCTAAAATATAAAATATTGAATCATTTTATGAGATTATTTTACAGGGAGGGTTTATTGAATTATTTTATAAAATATTTAAAAATAAATAATTAAAAAAAATGATCGAAAAGAACACTATTAGAAAACACCGATAATGGACAAGTAAAGATAAAAATAAAAAGTAAAAGTACACAAGAAAAGTAAAAGTAAAAATAAAAAATAAAAAAATAAAATAAAGTGCAAACTAAAAAAAATAAATCTGCTCCAAACTCCGAAAACGAATACACATATTGAGATTTTTTTTTTTTTTTTAACAATGTTAGTAAAAAAAAAATAATAATAAAGAAATTTTTTTTAATAGAAAACAGTAAACTGAAATCTTAAAAATTCAAATTATTTTTCTACAAATTCTCAAAATAAGAAATGTTTAAAGATATATATATATAGAGAAACAAGTTTCAATATATATATATATATATATATATTAGATAATGTACACATAACGCCCCTATACTATAAGATTAGTAATATTTATATTCCCTTGAGCATTTTTGGGAGAGTAAAATGGCAAAACGGGTATTACAATACTAATTTATGTTAGATTTCTGATTGAAGAGTATATTTTGCACAACGTGAAAAGATTAAGGTTGTTTTTCGCAAACTTTTTCAAATATAGATAAAAATATTTAGGGTGTTTTATGCAGTTGTCCTAATAATAATATGAATAAAAATGAAATTTTATAATATAAGAAATTTATATTTTTAGTAAAACTCAAAATATATAAAAGAAAAAAAATTGCCTGTGTAATACGGTAGGATAATAAAAATAAAATAAAATAAAAAAATTGGAAAGAATGTAATACTATAATACTAATATATTATAAACATACAATATGAATTTAGTATATTGTATACTCCATATAATACAGTACTAGAGAATCAGATTCGTTTCTACTCCGTATATGCTTATTCATTGTACAGAGGATTACTTCATTGTTTTTGGAAGGTTTCAGAGTTGCAGCTTTGGTCACTGACTCTCTCACCAGGCCATTTTTTTAATGATCAAACCCATCACGCCTTTCTGTTGATTAGACCAAGCCCACAATCGAATTGATTTACCTTCGTTACCTTTTTCAGTCCTTTCTGATTACTTTTGTTTTCTCTTCCCTCCATTATTAATCTTTCTTGCTTGCTTAGGCCTGCCTTAAAAACTCTGTTCAAACAGCAGTGGAACTCATATGCAATTCAGTATATTTATATGTTGTGTATATGCAATTTATGTGATGTTGTGTAAATGGTTTGTATGATCACGTGAGTGCACATGTCCAATGTGCCTTGTGTAATTACTTTAATATTTATATCAGTTGTTTAAATTCCCAAAAAAAAAAAAAAAAACGGTGGATCTAAAATTCCTACTCTCCAAATAAACACGGTCACGTACAAACCTTGTTATACTGAAATTTGAAAGCATCTAGCACTCTTGTTCTAAAATTACGATAATACCCTAATCACTTTGATTGCCATGCCCTTTACCGGCAGTGACGGCTCACCAGTCATTTTGTTTATTTTGGTGGAAATTTTTTTTTTTAAATCAATTATTTTGTTTATTTTGGTCGAAAATATATATATTTTTAAAAATATTTATTAATACTTGCTCATTGTTTGCCTATTCAAAACTATTATTTGGCTGACAAAAAGACACAGCTGTAACTAAAATAAAGTGTCCATAGCACTAATTCTGGTGTACCAAGTATACAAAATAATTATTGTTGTATGTAATAAAATAGATAAATAAAAATAACCTCTTACAGTTCAATTGCATGTACAAAAAAAATCACCCATTAGGGCATCTCCAATAACTTTTTGCATGCCAAAGCTATATTCTGAGAGGTATTACAGTGTCAAAATGCTATTTTTTAGTAATTCTGCTCTAGTGATACATTTTATCAAAAATGTTATTTTTAGAAAAAAAAAATCGAGAAAAGTACAAAGAATTATAAAAATTGCCTAGCATGTGCCTAAGTGATCCTTGCCACAATTATAACAAATACAAAGGTAAAGCATAAAACTAAATCCTTTCAAAAAAAAAAAAAAAGAAAAAGAAAAAGAAAAAACATTCACATAATGGATGCTACTAAAAAGTCATTAAAACAAGCCGATAAATAACTAACTACAATACATCGTTACAAAAAGAATTTCCCTAAGGTATCTGAAAGGAACTTTAGCAGTGATGTTAAACAAGTGTGAATATTCAACAAGCTACATTGATGTGAATGACATAGTTGTTTTCCTACTTTTTCTATGCAATTCACAACAATTAAACCATCAAAATTATAAAATTCTTCTATTCCATGTCTTTATAATTCCTAATGAACTAAAATCCAAATATATAGGTGTTTTGGGATATGCCGCATAATTAAACAGAAAACATGCTACTTTCTTGACATTGATCAATATGAATTGATATTTAATTTTTTGGTAGGCAAGTGCGATGAAAACAATATGCTCAAAATTTCAGCCCCCTAAAAAATGGTGCAAGATAACAAGAGATAAAGCATCAACTAATATTATATTGTCCCCAAACATCTAAATTATTGAAAATTGCCTGTTACAGATATTTTTAACACTTGTTGCCTCGGTAGGGAAGACATCCTCGAATGTCGTCTATAAGAAGCAAACAAAAAATGAGAACAAACAGTAAACATTAATGCACAGAAGACAAATTAAAAAGGGAAGAAGAAAAACAAACAAAAATAACTTGCTCCTAGCATAAAAGCTTAACATCTTCTTAATACTTTACTTTATGATGATATTGATAGCATATGAGTCTGTAAAAACAATTAAATATTTGAATTTATATTCTCATCAACAATCTAACTAAAAAATTCTTGTTGTATATCAAGCAAATTCAAAGGCCCAATTCATCCAAAATTTTCCTCGCGTATATTACGATTATTTTAAAAAATAATAATATTAATTAATCAAATTTTCCATATCTGTAAGCATTAATTGAGTAACTGGGTAACAGAATCACTCCCACACAAAAAAGAAAGAGTACCTGAAAGAGAACAAGTTTGGTGTAACACGCATATACAAGACGCTCATTTTCTTCTCTTTTTGTCGCACACAAAAATTAGATTAAGCTCCACATCTCTCTCCACACACACATATATGGGAAGAGAAAATACAGGACGCCCATTTTCTTCTCTTTCTGTAGCTGGTCGCCGGTCTCTTCCCATTCTGTTGCCGCCGTTCTCTTCTCTCTTTCTGTTGCCCTAGCGAAATAAGAGTCGATCCATTTTGTTTCTGTAGCCCTAGAGAAATAGCAATTGCTATTTCTTGTGCTACAATTGACATTAATTTTGACAAAGTTAAAAATTGACAGCCCAATTGACAACCCATTGAAGAGCCCATTTTAAGCTCATTTGCTATATTTTAAAAATAGCAGCCTATATAGCATTGCATTGGAGATGTTCAATGCAAAATGCCATTTTTGAATGCCAAATCTATATTTTGAGAGGAGTTACAATGTCAAAATGTTATATTTTAGCAATTTTGCTCCAATTGTACATTTCATCCAAATACAATTTTTTGACATAACAACCATTATTTTTCAACTACCATTTCCAACTACAATTTTCACCAACCATTTTTTTTTTTTAAGTGTTTGTATTTTATTTAGCTTATTTGCCTTATTAAAAATAAATAAATAAAAACACTGACATATATATATATATATATACAAACACAACAGACATATATATGTGCACACAATAGACATATAAATACATATACACACAACACTGACATATATATATATATACAAGCCCAACACCAAATTGGTAGCCTATTCAAGAGAGAAGAGAGAAGGAAAAGAGCAATAGCAGATTTGACAATAGCTATATGCTGTGTTATATTTGGCACAACATTTGGCAAAGTTATATTTTGACAATAGTTATATGTTGTGTTATACAATTTCTTAAAATTCTTGTTATGGTTTTTCCTACTGGGACTTCTCCCGTCTCACCTTCTTCTAGTTTCAGGTACCGAGAATGAACGTGGATTCATAGTTGTGGGTTTAGGTGGAAGAATTGGTGTTGATGATTTAATTATTTTATTTAGAGATGTTGTATTTATTTGAGGAATTGATGTCGTATCAATAGAGAGAGTTTCTTTTTGAGATCCTAGGTGTATATTGAAGCATTTTGATTTAATGAAATTGAGGAATTTTATTTAGAATTTTTGGGTCAGGGTCAGCTTATTTATCAGCCCAATTTGAGCACACTGGGCTAGTTTTTTTTTTTTTTTTTACATAATAAAAGTGGCATAACTTGGCCCACCCCGTAATTCAATGGAGTAAATGGGGCGGAGTCTACCAGAATAGGAGTGGAGATGGTATAACAATTATAAACTCGTTCCGGAGTAGGGGTGGAGTTGGTATGATAAATTTTTTAACGGGGCGAAGTAGGATTTAGCCAAACCCGTCTCAACTTCGCCCCGTTGCCATCCCTAGTTCCAGTAAGCATACTTTCATATTAGATTAAGTTTGAAAATAATAGTTAAGGTTTATAGATAAAAATATAAAGTGGCTTAAATGGTAGATAATAGAGATGGGTTAGATATGAGGTAAATGGTGATAGGAGTTAGGTTATTTATAGATGATAAATGAATTTTTAATTTTTTGAAAAAAGTTTTTAAAAATTGATTTATTTATATTATTATTAAAATTATAACCATTAAAGCACTCTTTTTGTCAGCCAAGTAGTACCTTAATAGTCTTAAGTGCAAAGTTTAAAAAATAAAGCCAAAAAAGTTTTAAAAAATCAATTTTTAAAGGGGGAAAAAAGTTTTTAAATTTATTTTTAGACAAGCAGTGCTTAAATAATATATTTGTTATTTAATAAATTTTTCTCTTGCATTACACATATATTTATAATAAAGAAAAATCCTAAAAATATAACTAATTGCTTAAGTAATAAGGAAATGAATTATAAGGAAACTAAAATAAAAATAAACTACCTAAAATTAAGCATTCTCTAAAAATTATAAAATTAAAAAATAAATAAAAACCTAATTAAGAAAAATAACTAAATAAGATTAAATTGTCCTACGTCAAGTTTAATAAATCTTTTTTAGGGCCTGTTTGGATCTGCGTTTGTTATTGGTTTGGGGGCGTCCATAACAAGGATACAATATCGCCAGAAAACCCTAATTTTTCAGCCTCATTTTCTCTCTCTTCGCGCAACTCCTTGGAGGCGATTTCATGGGGCGAAATACAGTGTAGCTAACTCCATACACAACCTCCTCCACCACCGATCTGGCATACTATTTTCGACTCTTATTCCTCTCTCTTCTCGCAGTTCGGTTGAGGCGATTTCATTTGCGCCTCTCATTTCTCTCTATTCTCGCAGATCGTGGTTGGTAGACCACAGATCAAGCATTTTTGTCTGCAAATCGTTCAAAAACCCTACCATTTTCATCTCGGGCTTGCACGGATCGAAGGTTTTCTCTGCAAATCCATTGGTTTTCCTCTCTTTTCTGTCTGTTATCGGCTTCTGCGACGCGAATCTGAAAGCCTAGCTCGGTGGTGAGCACATCGAAGGTATTTCTTTGGAAATCTTGCAACAGCGACACCTATTCGCGGTATGTGTTCTTATTCGCGTGATTATATGCACTATTTACTAATCATATTCCAATTTCTATTGTTTTCCTTAACTGTAACCTCAGGTCTGTCTGCCTGTTGAAATTTTACAGCATTAGTAGAGGATTTTTGCCTTTATGAGCCAAACCCATCTTTTTTATGATATATTTTTTTTAAAAATACTGAAACGTATAAAATTTATATTCCAATTTCTTTTGTTTTATATTGTTTTCCTTAACTGTAACCTCAAGTCTCGCCCTTTTTTAGTTTTTTAGTGGAAAATACAGTATGCTTGTTGATAGTAGAAGAGTACATGAATAAACAAAGAAAAAGTAGCTTCGTATGTGTATAATTGTTAGTAGATCGAATTGATAGTAGATCTTATTGATGGCATTGCTTGCAGATATTTATTCAATGGTCAATATGCTAATGAAATACCAGGAATAATTCAAATGTGTTCATTTTGGATGAACTTATTTCCTTCTACAAATTACTTGGAACTATGCAGTTCATGTTGGTTGTTTATGACTAAAAAGATCAGCATAATAAATCGGCAAATTTTTTATGGTATTGGTGACTTTACATAGAGATATTGGTATATTCATAATAAAGTAAATATTGCATCTTTGTAATATTAATAAGAAAATGTTTCCTTCTTGATGGTTATAAGGTGTTAATTGCTTCTGTGCAGTACATGTGTTAAGCCACTGTAGTTCTACATAGAATCTAGTCGAATATGGATTATGTTTACAATCCCTCAATTTTAGCTTTGCAATATATAAAATTTACTAAATTGTGAAATTTACTTAAAAATAATCAGATGGACATGAACAATGAGAATGCTGAGCAACACCCGTCAAGAAACATTCATTCTCTTAATGCTGAGAGTGGTGAGGACGTTGTAGTTATTGAACAGGCCGCTGCCACTGTTTGGTGTGATGCCCATGCAAGCTTTTTGCTATCACTAATCAACAAGTGATCTCACATTTTTTTTGGTTGATTCTTTTAATTTAGACTTTTGGCCCCTCTAAAGGCGTGCACTCCTTTGTAACTTAAATGAATTGGCTCATTTTCTTCTTTATATGCTATGATCGTGCCGTATTCATTGCAGCCAGTGGATGCCTTTTTGGTGGTTTTGAAGTTTGTTAATTTTCTCTTTATTTATTTATTTATTTATATATATAGATATAAAAGATATGAGAGTTGAAGAGTTGTTTTTTGAGTTCAAGATGAGAGATTTAATTGTGATTGGTGATATATTTTATTTTTTTCCATATTTCCATTTTGTTCCTTTTATGTGATTTTTATACAATTGTAGCAGGCTTTACATTCTGTTTAGGCTTTTTTTTAAATTTATTTTAATCGTCTTGTTTACTGCATTTGTCATCTTAAACTCTGTTTGTGATTATTAATGTCATATAATTTCAGGTCAAATGGATGATATGGATCCTCCTCCTTGTTTGTGATTATTAATGTCATATAATTTCAGGTCAAATGGATGATATGGATCCTCCTCCTTTTATGGGTGGTTTCCCGTACAAGTTTTCAAGTCATCACCCGCTTATTGCTCTCGACATTCCTCCCGATGAAGTAAAATTGATCCCATGGATTGCAAAGCGTGCGCTTGCCATTCCAGCTGAATCTGTTGATGAACATTCAGCTCATCTCTTCGTCACGCATGAAAATTTGCGAAGGCTTTATCAACTAGATGTTGAGAATAAATATGCCTTATACGAGGAAGTCTCAATCCCTCTTTCTATCTGGCAGTTAAAAAATGAGCCAGTATATGAGGCAACATATGAAAACTTGTCAGCCTGGAGAACAACAGAAGTCACCAAGGCTTTGGTCAAGTATGAAGTTCCTTTAAATAATTATTGAATTTATTTATTATCTTGTTCAAATAGTGACAGTTCGTGTTCCTTTTCAGGGGTCTCTTATCGTGCATTATGACAATGCATGATAAGGGATTTTGCTTGGGGGAAGAATTAACTAGTGATCATGTTTGGATGCTTGTTGATTCTCCAGAGCTCTTGATCAAGACTACATCGATCCATGTTCTTCATCCAAGTGATGATCTTATAAGAGACTACAAAAGGTTTGGCCAATTTGTTAGATCAGTTATATTTGGAAGATGCACAATACCAGAGGACATGGATTCTTTTTTACTTCTTCTGGAGGACAAAAGAGTTGATGAGTATGCTCTCCGTAGTATTTTAATAATTTATTTTTTTTAAAAAAATTATTTTAGTGAACATTGTCTTTATTCTTTTACCTGCTTTAAATAGGAGCAAATTGTACTTGCTAGAAAGGCATGCTGCAGTTTCAAATGCGCAACAAAGAATAGATTTCTTGATGAGAGTGGTTACTGAGACGCGCGCACTAGAAAGGATTGTTAGGAGTAGCTTCATCAATGAACTGAACAAATGGGACTTTGGGTACAACAAACCTTGGCGCGATTGTATTCCTTTGAATTCTGATGCACATAATGTCTATACATTTGAAAAAAAGAAAAGAAACAGGCACCTATGCAGAATCCAATTTGTCCCACTGTTGCTACATGCTCAACTTCCGTCTGGACTCGTCTCTGTCTGATTACAACATCCATTTGGGCAGGCCAAAATTTGAGTGTACGTTCACAATCTTTGTGTTTTTTATTTTTCTATTTTTGGCTAATTCTTTTATTTTATTTTAAAATAATATATGGTTTATATTAATACAGCGTGAGGGTATGGAAGCGGTGTTCATTGACAATGCCATATCGGTGATGTTCCCACGTTCAATATCAATGATTCAGAATGTTATGAGGGAGAAGAAAGTTGTTAAGGCCTTCTTACTCTGACATGACCTGTGCTGCCAATCAAGTTCTGAACCTTTATTGGTAAGTCAAGTTCTGAACCTGAACCTTTATTGAACCTGTAAGCCAAGTTCTGAACCTTTATTGAACCTGTACATTCTTTTTGAACAGTATGTTGTTTGCATGTCGTACTTTGAAGATTAGGTTTGTCGTTTGATAATTTGTTTCAATTTGTGGATTTTTTTAGCGTTATCATCATTTGAGAATTGGTTTCAGTCCAAGTTGGAGGTCACTAAATTTGGGGATTTTGGCAATTAGGAAATGTCCAGTGTCTTTTTTGAATGCACACAGTTGATGGAAATCCCGGTCTTTTGCTTTTGTGGGTTTTAACTACTACTAATTAAGTAAATTTGCAAATGTGTATGGAAGGTGAAGGAAATGCCGTGTCTTTTTTGTTTGTGTAGGCTTATAATTTTCTGTGTCGTATAGTTGGTACAATTGGGTGGGTTGGTAAATTTGGGTAGATGTATATAATCACTAGATATGAATGTGCAAGTGTATTTGATCAATGGATATGCCTTATGTATGGATTATGAACATACTTGTTTGCAATGACAGTGGTTATATTTTGTTCAAGTTTGATTGCGTATTGTGTGGTATGATAATTTGCAAATGTGCGAGGCAACTTACAGTGAGTAACTGGGCGTTGCTTGTGATGTGAAAGTGACAAAACTAAAAAAAAAAAAAAAACTGTTTTTGATTTGCTTGGATGCGTCTTCAAAACACAGTTTTTGCTAAACAGAGTTATAAGAGTTCAGGGTTTTAGAGAACTACAATAGGTAGTTCTAAGAGTTTTGAGAAACTTAGAAAACACGGAGATCTATCCCCAGTTAAAAAAAGATGGGACGACACACTCGTTTAGGATTGAGATGTATGATATTCAAATCTGATAAATGGGCAGTGTCATTTGAGGGCTGAAATAGTGTATTGTTGGTTATGTTCTGGTATATCTTTTTTAGAGGACTAGTAATTGAGTGTTACCTTAGTTTGTTTGGTGATGAATGCGGTTTGTTGATTTTTCTGAGATGTTTTTAAAACTTGGTGCTTTTAATTTAGAGATACCGGCTAATATGTTACCACTCTTGTTTTGATGTTCATACTTAAATAATAGGGTAACTTGCACCGGACCTCCCCTGTGATTTCAAAAATCACTCTAGCCTCCCTGGAAATGGAACTTCTTAGCACGGACCTCCCTTTTTATTGAATGACTATCAAGTGGACCAATGGAGGTGGTTATATTCCAATTTCTTTTGTTTTATATTGTTTTCCTTAACTGTAACCTCAAGTCTCGCCCTTTTTTAGTTTTTTAGTGGAAAATACAGTATGCTTGTTGATAGTAGAAGAGTACATGAATAAACAAAGAAAAAGTAGCTTCGTATGTGTATAATTGTTAGTAGATCGAATTGATAGTAGATCTTATTGATGGCATTGCTTGCAGATATTTATTCAATGGTCAATATGCTAATGAAATACCAGGAATAATTCAAATGTGTTCATTTTGGATGAACTTATTTCCTTCTACAAATTACTTGGAACTATGCAGTTCATGTTGGTTGTTTATGACTAAAAAGATCAGCATAATAAATCGGCAAATTTTTTATGGTATTGGTGACTTTACATAGAGATATTGGTATATTCATAATAAAGTAAATATTGCATCTTTGTAATATTAATAAGAAAATGTTTCCTTCTTGATGGTTATAAGGTGTTAATTGCTTCTGTGCAGTACATGTGTTAAGCCACTGTAGTTCTACATAGAATCTAGTCGAATATGGATTATGTTTACAATCCCTCAATTTTAGCTTTGCAATATATAAAATTTACTAAATTGTGAAATTTACTTAAAAATAATCAGATGGACATGAACAATGAGAATGCTGAGCAACACCCGTCAAGAAACATTCATTCTCTTAATGCTGAGAGTGGTGAGGACGTTGTAGTTATTGAACAGGCCGCTGCCACTGTTTGGTGTGATGCCCATGCAAGCTTTTTGCTATCACTAATCAACAAGTGATCTCACATTTTTTTTGGTTGATTCTTTTAATTTAGACTTTTGGCCCCTCTAAAGGCGTGCACTCCTTTGTAACTTAAATGAATTGGCTCATTTTCTTCTTTATATGCTATGATCGTGCCGTATTCATTGCAGCCAGTGGATGCCTTTTTGGTGGTTTTGAAGTTTGTTAATTTTCTCTTTATTTATTTATTTATTTATATATATAGATATAAAAGATATGAGAGTTGAAGAGTTGTTTTTTGAGTTCAAGATGAGAGATTTAATTGTGATTGGTGATATATTTTATTTTTTTCCATATTTCCATTTTGTTCCTTTTATGTGATTTTTATACAATTGTAGCAGGCTTTACATTCTGTTTAGGCTTTTTTTTAAATTTATTTTAATCGTCTTGTTTACTGCATTTGTCATCTTAAACTCTGTTTGTGATTATTAATGTCATATAATTTCAGGTCAAATGGATGATATGGATCCTCCTCCTTGTTTGTGATTATTAATGTCATATAATTTCAGGTCAAATGGATGATATGGATCCTCCTCCTTTTATGGGTGGTTTCCCGTACAAGTTTTCAAGTCATCACCCGCTTATTGCTCTCGACATTCCTCCCGATGAAGTAAAATTGATCCCATGGATTGCAAAGCGTGCGCTTGCCATTCCAGCTGAATCTGTTGATGAACATTCAGCTCATCTCTTCGTCACGCATGAAAATTTGCGAAGGCTTTATCAACTAGATGTTGAGAATAAATATGCCTTATACGAGGAAGTCTCAATCCCTCTTTCTATCTGGCAGTTAAAAAATGAGCCAGTATATGAGGCAACATATGAAAACTTGTCAGCCTGGAGAACAACAGAAGTCACCAAGGCTTTGGTCAAGTATGAAGTTCCTTTAAATAATTATTGAATTTATTTATTATCTTGTTCAAATAGTGACAGTTCGTGTTCTTTTTCAGGGGTCTCTTATCGTGCATTATGACAATGCATGATAAGGGATTTTGCTTGGGGGAAGAATTAACTAGTGATCATGTTTGGATGCTTGTTGATTCTCCAGAGCTCTTGATCAAGACTACATCGATCCATGTTCTTCATCCAAGTGATGATCTTATAAGAGACTACAAAAGGTTTGGCCAATTTGTTAGATCAGTTATATTTGGAAGATGCACAATACCAGAGGACATGGATTCTTTTTTACTTCCTCTGGAGGACAAAAGAGTTGATGAGTATGCTCTCCGTAGTATTTTAATAATTTATTTTTTTTAAAAAAATTATTTTAGTGAACATTGTCTTTATTCTTTTACCTGCTTTAAATAGGAGCAAATTGTACTTGCTAGAAAGGCATGCTGCAGTTTCAAATGCGCAACAAAGAATAGATTTCTTGATGAGAGTGGTTACTGAGACGCGCGCACTAGAAAGGATTGTTAGGAGTAGCTTCATCAATGAACTGAACAAATGGGACTTTGGGTACAACAAACCTTGGCGCGATTGTATTCCTTTGAATTCTGATGCACATAATGTCTATACATTTGAAAAAAAGAAAAGAAACAGGCACCTATGCAGAATCCAATTTGTCCCACTGTTGCTACATGCTCAACTTCCGTCTGCACTCGTCTCTGTCTGATTACAACATCCATTTACAACATCCATTTGGGCAGGCCAAAATTTGAGTGTACGTTCACAATTTTTGTGTTTTTTATTTTTCTATTTTTGGCTAATTCTTTTATTTTATTTTAAAATAATATATGGTTTATATTAATACAGCGTGAGGGTATGGAAGCGGTGTTCATTGACAATGCCATATCGGTGATGTTCCCACGTTCAATATCAATGATTCAGAATGTTATGAGGGAGAAGAAAGTTGTTAAGGCCTTCTTACTCTGACATGACCTGTGCTGCCAATCAAGTTCTGAACCTTTATTGGTAAGTCAAGTTCTGAACCTGAACCTTTATTGAACCTGTAAGCCAAGTTCTGAACCTTTATTGAACCTGTACATTCTTTTTGAACAGTATGTTGTTTGCATGTCGTACTTTGAAGATTAGGTTTGTCGTTTGATAATTTGTTTCAATTTGTGGATTTTTTTAGCGTTATCATCATTTGAGAATTGGTTTCAGTCCAAGTTGGAGGTCACTAAATTTGGGGATTTTGGCAATTAGGAAATGTCCAGTGTCTTTTTTGGATGCACACAGTTGATGGAAATCCCGGTCTTTTGCTTTTGTGGGTTTTAACTACTACTAATTAAGTAAATTTGCAAATGTGTATGGAAGGTGAAGGAAATGCCGTGTCTTTTTTGTTTGTGTAGGCTTATAATTTTCTGTGTCGTATAGTTGGTGCAATTGGGTGGGTTGGTAAATTTGGGTAGATGTATATAATCACTAGATATGAATGTGCAAGTGTATTTGATCAATGGATATGCCTTATGTATGGATTATGAACATACTTGTTTGCAATGACAGTGGTTATATTTTGTTCAAGTTTGATTGCGTATTGTGTGGTATGATAATTTGCAAATGTGCGAGGCAACTTACAGTGAGTAACTGGGCGTTGCTTGTGATGTGAAAGTGACAAAACTAAAAAAAAAAAAAAACTGTTTTTGATTTGCTTGGATGCGTCTTCAAAACACAGTTTTTGCTAAACAGAGTTATAAGAGTTCAGGGTTTTAGAGAACTACAATAGGTAGTTCTAAGAGTTTTGAGAAACTTAGAAAACACGGAGATCTATCCCCAGTTAAAAAAAGATGGGACGACACACTCGTTTAGGATTGAGATGTATGATATTCAAATCTGATAAATGGGCAGTGTCATTTGAGGGCTGAAATAGTGTATTGTTGGTTATGTTCTGGTATTTCTTTGTTAGAGGACTAGTAATTGAGTGTTACCTTAGTTTGTTTGGTGATGAATGCGGTTTGTTGATTTTTCTGAGATGTTTTTAAAACTTGGTGCTTTTAATTTAGAGATACCGGCTAATATGTTACCACTCTTGTTTTGATGTTCATACTTAAATAATAGGGTAACTTGCACCGGACCTCCCCTGTGATTTCAAAAATCACTCTAGCCTCCCTGGAAATGGAACTTCTTAGCACGGACCTCCCTTTTTATTGAATGACTATCAAGTGGACCAATGGAGGTGGTTATTTTACCCAATGTATATATCGTCTTTATTTATTTATAAAATAACACATCCCTTGTCTCTGCATTAGAGTTATCAATCAGATGCCTTTGTTCTGTAGTTGTGATTTGGTAAGGGGTGATGTGTGTCTTATGCCTAACTGCTACTGCTACAGCTACAGCTACAGCTACAGCTACTGCTACTGCTACAGCTACAGCTACATGCCGATGATCTGTTTTCCAATTTAATGTCTTTTTTCATTGTCCATAACCAATTTTATGATTTTGTAAGCTTGATCTTGTGATTTCTGACAGCTTGACATTTAATTTTCTGTGTTATAGTTGATATGATGAGGCTCCCCCTTGTATCTACTTTTTCTGTAATTTTTTTCTTCCCCTTATATTCAACATAACAGATGTTTTTATCTTTCAATATGTAATATGATACATATGTTTCAGTATGCTTTAGAGCTAATTTGACAGCTATTCTTGGTACCCTGTCTTAATTGTTTTTTTATGATGTGATACAAATGACATATAGTACACGTGGTATGTGCACACTTGGAGTGGCTTTGATTTTGTTTCTTTTTCTGAGAAGTGTTAATTTTAAACATTTCTTATTGACAAAAAGTGTAATGTTGTTTTAAAGGTGCATTAGATTAAACATAACATTTACTCATGCTTTCTTTTGCCGCCTCTAGTTCTCCAGAGTTTTTATCATCTGATACCATTTTTTTCATGGCGTCTATATTAGTGGGAGCAAAAGTATTCCCCCCACCAAAATTTTTGAAGGCACTGAGAGTTGACAATCATTGTAGAATATCACACTGTCTTATACGTTATTAAGTATAAGCCATGAATTTTTTGCAAACTTTTTTTATCATATATATAAATGAAACATTGGAAATATTTTCATTAATCAATGGGAAGTCATGTTTCAAGAATAAATCTTTACAATATTATATGCAGAATGTTATATTTTGACACTCAAATTGTCGTGTTATTGAACATTACACCTTATGAACATGATTAGTTTTTGAAGGTTTCATCTCTGTCATTTGTTAGCCTTTTGTCATTTTGTGTGGTTGTATATAGCAGTGATCTTTAATAACTGGTCATGCCTTTTTCATGTCCTCCTTGGATGAACTGATTGCCTTAATTGCTTGGTTTTTGGGAATTTGGTATTTTATGTGGGGCTTTATTTTCCTTGATAAAACTCAAGCCCCCTTTTATTCAACCTGATTTTCACTAGTCCTTTGTCATAGGAGTGAAGAAGAACAAAAGCAAAGTGACTGAAAAAGCAGCAGCAAAGAATCGAAAAGGAAGGAAGAGAAATGCGTCTGATAGCTGTGAGAAGTCTGCTAGCTCTCACAAAATGCCGAAACGCGTTGCTTCCTGTATGGATTTCAAGGAGAAATCTGTTCATATATCTAAAAAGTCTTCAGTTACTGAAACAAAGAAGGACCAGTTGATAGATGAGGAGGCTGTAGCTGTAGGGATGACTGCTGGTCAAGATGATGGTAGACTCACAGATTTCATCTTTCACTATTCAAGTGGTCTCCAACAACCCTTTGAAATGCTGGAAGTTGATGTTTTTATCTCTGGTCTCATATTGCCTCTTGATGAAAATGCTGACAAAGAAAAAGAAAATGGTTTTAGATGTGGAGGCTTTGGGAATCCTGCATTGAGGTATACAAGAAACTTCAAAATCTTCTGGAGGGAAGCCTGTCTTGAATCTTGATGAGTTGCTTGCTGGGGTTGTCCGTGCAATGAGTGGAAACAGGTGCTTCTCAGGTGGAATGTCTATCAAGGATTTTGTAGAGGAGTTTTTCAGGTTTAATCAAAATTGGGCCTAAAAGTGCCCTAGACTGATAATTATCTTATCAGAGGACCCCACATTGTTGGCCAGGAGCGCCTTGAAGTGGGTAAAGGTGGAAAAGTAAGTGTAAGTGATTCTTCATGAGAACCTATTCCCAATCCAAGGAGGTTGATACACAAAGAATGAATGAACTGTATAAACTTTATTTAACGTTTTGTTTGTGTGTCGACTAATAATAATTGGTGGGGACCAATGATTACGATGATACAATAATTTCTGGAGTTTCTCAAGCAAACAATGAACAACGAAGGTTAAAGTACATCTCTCTACGGTTTTGAGTTGCTTATGTCAACTTTAACACCACATGCATGTGTAGTGTGTACGCATTGTTGATGAAGGTTCAAGTACATCTTTATACAGGTTTGAGTTGCTTATAACTTTAGTACCACATGCATGTGTAGTGTGCACACATTGTTGATGAAGGTTCAGGTACATCTTTATACAGTTTTGAGTTGCTTATAACTTTAATACCACTGCATGTGTAGTGCGTACGCATTGTTGATGATGTGTACGCGATGACGTGTCCAAATGAGTAGTCAATTGTGTGTGATTGGGCTTGTGGACCTTCTGTGTAAGTGCTTACCGGCGTATTATGACCATGGATTATCTTTAATGTGAATGAGTTGGGCCATGATGGGCTAACCCAATTAATGCTCAATTAATATTTTTTTTACTGAACCCTGATTTAAGATTGAAACACTAGTAAACCGAGTCAGCTATAGCCATTGAACGAGTGAGCTCCGCTATATAATACAGAAGCCAAGTATTCACATACCGTCGTGGATGTCAGAAGCCAATTATTCACATACTATCGTGGATTCTCTATACGTTGTGAGTAGCCGGTTATATCAATGATAATCGAATATTTTAAGGTTTTTTTTATTACAAAAAGGAATCGAATATTTTAAGGTTTTTTTTATTACAAAAAGGAGAGTGGGAATTCACAGCCACTAATTTCTTGCTACCAAATACACACAAGACAAAATTCAGTTGATGGAGTAAATGATATCACGTAAAAGATTTTGTTCCGCTTTGTTTCCCTTTCTTTCACCGGTGGATGAAAATACTAGTTAGCCAAACAAGAAGGTCACTAGTCACTCCTGAGCATATCACTTAAATGCTGTGTACATATAGATAGTAATAGAAAAATTAATTTGGGCCTTTGATCAGTTAAAAACATGACATATTTCTATTCAATCGATTCATCTTAAAATTAATGCAACCCAAGCCCAAGTACTAGAATTTATAATCCACCAAACCCCAATAGTTTACCTAATCGGCTCTTCCTCTCTCTCTCTAGCCCTAGCCGCAAAACGAATATTTTCCAGCGAACACGCCGGAGACCTCAAAGCTGTGAATCGCACATGCAAGTGCTCTTTCTCATATACTCTCTGTTTTAGAAATTTTCATCGATGTTGAATGAAAATATCTGCAACTACGCTGGCGAGCAATATGCCTTCGGTTGATGGATGTTATCGATCTCTTAGAGCAGAGCTCGAAACACTCCAATACTCGGCTCGGCTCGATTACAGCCCTACCTGTGGCTTAGTATCTTCGTCTACCCATTAGACTTTATCCTCTTGCAACAACTCTCTTTTTTCCTCTCTTTATCTCACTCACACTCCGTCAGCTCTAACATATCAGGATCCAACCCTCTCCCCTTTAGCAGCACTGTGAAGCTAGTAAAAAGATTGGGATATTTGACACTAGTTCTTGTGTTATCAGTTGCCCCCCATTCCCAAGCTTGCACGTTAAGCTTTGGGAATGTAATAAATAATACATTATCAACCTACCCTACATTCGATAAGATTGATTAGATTTCATTATCAAGGATAATGAAATCAAATCTGACGTGATTCCACAGGTAAGAATAATCCTACTATAACTGGAGGAGTTCAAAAGGATTAAATCATATCCCCGACAAATTTGGCAATAAATCTCCTATGATTTCGCACAAGCGGAAGATAAGATCAACCATCGACATCGGCGGAACGATTTTGATTCCAATCGACAACCATAAATAGGGCACCAAGCCATTAAAGAAGGGACGACGTAAAAACTATTATTATTCCCTGCCTTCTTTTTAGACCTCCGTGACTAATTTGATCGTCGGAGAGCTCTTGGCAGGCACCACACCGGTGCCGTCAAAGTTTATCGATCTTCTCCTCTTTCCTTACAGGAAAACGGTATCGTATCGGATTGCGCGAATTTCAGCCTCAACAATTATCAAAAGGCTTATGCAAGTAGGATTAATTTTATCAATAGTCATGGAATTAATTGGTCACTTTGATATCAAAAGGATTAATATCAAACACCATCATTAATAAAGAACAGTAATCGGAGGATGAGTAACAGAGAGTTGGAGAGTTGGAAAGGTTTTGAGAGAGGAGGAGTAAATGAAACAGCCCTTTTTTATTGCTGTGCTATACGCATATGTTATCTGGTACCTCTGAAGCACCGACACGGCCCACAGGGTCGCTGCACCGGTATCCAACATGCCGAGACACCGTTTAAGGACATGGTTGTTCGAATAATTTTTGGGGGGAAAAAGAAGAAGGAAAGGATGAAGATACACACACACACACACACACATATTTGTGTGTGTTTCTATGAAGTGATATAAGAGATTTAGAGATGAAATATGTGAAGAAATGGAGGAGATGGGGAGAAAACGGCCAGAAAAGGGAGAACAACCCCAACATGAATAGAGAGTAAGAGTAAGTGGTGTGAGCATAGAAGTTTATCTATCTACTTTTTAAAAAGTATAGTGCAACATAAGTTAAAAAGTGATGATATTGTACCCTATTTTTTTTTTTATCCACATGTTCTATGGTATGGAACCCAATTATCTCATTCTCTATGTATTATTTTATTAATTTAATTTAAAAATAAAATAAAAAATTTGAATTTGAATTTAATAATTTTTTGTTTTCTTCCTAACGGCTATATTCCCAACGGTTATATTTCAATTTATATATAAATCACTCATTCTATCTTCTTTAAATTATAAAGTCTGCTTCTTTGCATTCTCAAGTCCATTATCTGTTATTTCAATTTCTATATAAACTACTTATTCTATCTTTTTTTCAATTATCAAGTCCACTTCTTTGCATTCTAAGTTCATTCTCTATTATTTGAATCTTCATATTTCTTATACAAAAAAACAATGGCTTCATCGTCATGAGATATACCGGTCTCCGAGTCTATTTCTCCATTGAATACGTCAGTTTCAAATGGGGAAGATATTTTTGAAATCCATCGAAAAAGGATGAACGATCTGAGGAGATTATTATCGCCTGATAGGGTGCGAGTATTCTTTCAACCTCGTAAGAGAAATTATATTAAACGTGATTGAGGAGGCAGCACAACGGCTATTCTGAGATTACTTTACTGAAAATCCGATTTATCCACCAAAAATGTTTCGTAGAAGGTTTCGGTAGCGACGAGAGTTGTTTCTTCACATTTTGAACGGTGTTACAACATATGACAAATGGTTCATCCAGAAACCCGATGCCTTCGGTTGTATATATGGGGTTCATTCCTATATAGAAGATGATTGCTGCAATCCATATACTCGCATATGGAATTTCAGCTGATTTTTGTGACGAGTATATAAAGATTTCTGAGTGCATTGCGATCGAAAACTTGAAGAGGTTTTGTGATGCTATAATTGTTGTGTATGCGGAGCAGTACCAACGCTCACCAAATGCAGACGACATTGCACGCCTGCTTCGAGAAGGGGAAGAGAGGTTTTTCAGGATGTTTGGCTCTATAGATTGTATACATTGAAAATGGAAGAACTGCCCCACAGCATAACATGGCACGCACACGGGAAGAAACCATATCTCTTGTAATATTATCCAATTTGAAAGTTAATCAACAAGTGAATAACTTTTCCACTTTAATGTTTTTGTATGCACTTTTAGGAATCATGTTTACTCAATGGTTAAAAAATATATATGCCTTCATATAATATACTATTATGGATGAAGTCAGCTAATATACAATACTCAATTCTCTACGTACTCATCTGGATCATAAAACCTTTCCATTGATTGAGAAATGTTATTTAGTAAAATTTTTTGAAAGGAATAAAGGAAAAGGCTGGATGAGTAAATTTTACTATGTCAGCAAATGGGAGGAGGAAAAAGAAAAATGCCAGAAAGTTTAATGAAAAATTTCAAATAGTGCAGTGGAGTGATATAATTAGGTGTACCTCATGACATTTCTAATGAGGTCTTTGTGTTTTTGTCATGATCGATATTGAAACACGAATCTAAAAGTTTGGAAGAATATTGCATGATAATTATATAATCAAAATATCGCAATAATATTCATCCCATGAATCAGTCAAATTGTCATGAGGGAGTTCTCATGTATCATTACTATACCAATTTTGTCTTCTAACAATTTTCAAAAACCTTTCAGCTATGTCCTGCTGAGCACAAATTCGAACCTTTAGGAAGAGGAAAACGAGTTTTTTTCAAAATGCGTGTGCACATCATTTGCTACAATAGTGCAAGTGCATTAATGCTGCATTGCTTGCTATCTCCATGGGCAAATTTCAGAGATGGTGATTGAGAAACACTGATCCAATATTGATATTTAAAAAATTCTTGTTTTTGTCTAGGGATTCATATATATATATATATATAAAGTTGTAGCCGGCAATTTTGGTGTCTTCCAAAAGTAAGTTGACCAAGTTCTGATGCTCAATAAAGGTCATTAGGATAGAATCAATTTTTTTTTGTATAGTGGTTAATTCTTACTACTATATTGAATGCCAGTTTTAGCCTTCAGGGTGTGAATGGTATGCAAAAGGGATGGATATTAACGGCTACAATATACTTATTAATTCATACTGATCCAAACTTGAATATATATGAAATATAAAACTTTATAGTAGTAAATTCAATAATTGGCTAACGGAATTGTTTTCCAAATTTCTCTTACTTTTTTTTACTTTAAAAAGTAGAGATTCCTTAGTTTCCTTTAAAATTTGATGTGTACATCATTTGCCATAATATAGTGCAAGTTATGCAATCAAACAGTACTGGTGCTATCTCCAGTCTTCCACAGCCATATTTTTTTGCAGGCACATTCTGACCAAGAGATCATATATATATATATATATCCCCAACCTGAAATGTTCAAAACCAAAAATTGTAGATGCATGTATATGGTAATATACTTGCATATAATACTCTAACCTAACAAGTCTTCAAACAGACACCAAAAATTTTCAAAGTGAATGTAGTAATCTTGAAATCTTCAAATCAAAAATGAAAAAGCTTCACAACTAAAATGGAAATAAACTATCTACGAGAAAAGCTAATGTAAATATATGTATGTAATTTTCTTTTCTTTATTAAAACAGGCATGCAAATAAACTACCTACAAGAAAAGCTAATTTCTGATAAATTGAAACACACAACCTAATGTAACCTGTATTTCATTTCTTTCTCCTTTTCCCAATTGAAGCGAGAGTGATGGTCAAATGGGACTTAACAAAGGATAATCGGTTTCCGATTGCAATTTGTGTGCCATACATGGTTAGTCAATTTTATCTCCATACAAGCAAATTAAATTATTCTCTATCTTAATTGTTTCTTCGTCTTGTCCTCATTTTAACTAAAGCATGAATTGAATTGCCCAAGTTTCTCCGTCTTGTCCTTATTTTAACCAAATGATAATTGCTACTCTGTAAAACCCCTTTTTATTTTATTTTATAAAAAGCTATCATGGGCGCGCACCAATCCAAAATTTTTACAACTACAATTCATTATGTATCATTATGATATAATGTGACGCTCAAATTTAATTACGATGTTTAATATTATAAATATATTTTAAAAAAATTATAGTAAAATTGACACTAAATTTTTTCAAATTTAAATGACTTGGTTTTAGTTTGGCACGCGTTCACTGAATATGGTTTCTAGATTCAACCAAGCATATTCATTGAATACAAGAAACTTTAATTTGTATTAGTCTGCAAAAATAGTAGTCGTGTATGTATTAATGTGCAAAAACTGATTTAAGCAAAATAGTAGTGATATATGTATTAATGTACAAAATATGCTTTCTACATTCAACTAAAACTTAAAAACTACTGAAAATGTGAAAAAATAACAGAGAATAAAAACATAACACCGCAAAAGCATGATATCTAGAACTCATTAAAAGAAACTCACCACTACCAAGTACTTCAATTCCTCTGGTGTAACTATCCTAAGATCTCCTCAAGCTGGACATAGGTAATTAAAAAAAAAATAAAAATAAAAAAAAAAAAATCTGTGTAAGGCAAGCTGCATATGAGAATTAAATTAAATATATATATGAAGGGGTATGGTGGTGGAATTTTCCTCGTCCTTGTTTAAGCAGGATATATAGCATAGTTGTAGATCAATGTTACTCCTGTAAAACCCTAAATAGATCCCAAATCCGCCAATGAATATGGCTAAATCAAACACCTCAAGAAAAAATTCAAATTTGATGGCAGAAAAGAACATCCAACTCTATAAATAGAAAATCATTTTCTTCACATCAGCCCAGTTAATTTATATATTGAAAAATTATAATAAAGTAAATAAGTAAATCATGTGAAAAAAATAAAGTAAACAAGTAAACCAGTTAATTTGAATCTTAGCATGATAGGGGAAAAAAAAGACAATTAATGGACTGGTAATCCGTGATAAAGATTAAACTCTTAGTGGAGTGGGCAAGTGGGCAGTTTGTCAACCACTGATCTGCCTTCTGGTTGATGCACTTGATGAATGATGTCCCACTTTTAGTTCAAAATTTCACTTCCCAAGTCATGTCAGCATAAAAATGTGTGAAGAATATTCATATCCCTCATAATCCCCTGAATCACTGAGATTGAATGTGGAAACATCACTGAAATGGTGTCATCAACGAACTTAGCACGCTGTTATTAATATAAACAGAGTATTATTTAAAACGAAAAAGAAAGGAATTAACAAACACAAAATATTGAAAACTTTTGGTCTAGTCAGACTCCTACATCATACTAGCTCAAAGTTTTGTGTTTGTCTTCAATGTGTCATCAAGAAGATGTTACTGTGTTGTTTTACATTTTAATCATTCTTGTTTTGTGGCTTGCAGACTTGCAGTGTTGTTCCTTTGTGTATGGTTTGCTAATGAAATCATTCACTAACCAAAAAATGAACAGAAATAAATTTGGCAGTCATTTTCCTACCTTTGCTGGTAATGTTTCTATCAAAGATAAGATGGAGAGGAATGAATTGTTTATTTTGTTGAAAATATATTGTGTACAACTACAAAGGGAATTTTGTTCCCAATTCAAAAACAAAACCAAGCAATCTGCAGTAAATACTACACGGCACAATATATATATATATATATATCCTAATCCTAATCGCAGCTGGATCTACTAATACAAGCTAGCTTTTGAAAGACAAAAACAATCAATCATACAGCCAAAAGAGTGAAATAAAATGTTCCGATAATGTTAATTTGTTGGAGCAGCTCTATAATATGCTGGAACAATTATGGGGAAGAACATCTGCCTCACTCCTTCAGCCTTAATAATGGGGAAAATGATGCATGCTGCACCCTGAGGAAAATAAATGACAAGTAAGATATGCGTACATCAGATACTTTTGATCTTTTAAAATAAGAAAAGGATATGCAAATGAAAAGAAAATATTATTGGCAAATAAATTCAGGAATTATAAGTATAGTTATGCAAAAAGAAGATATGCTCACTGATATTAATCTGGCGCCAAGCCACATGCGATTGGGAGAAGGGAATGGAAGTAACAAGCGCCCAACACCATAGACAGCCACGGCAAAGAAATGCAAAACCAAGCTCAATGGGCGAGGATTTAGACCGGAGAGTAAAGCTATTGGTCCATTTGAGAAAATGCCTCCAATGCTCAAATAATCGAAACATGCTTGGCGCATTTCCTTCCTTGCTAGGTCTGGTGATGCACAAAAAACCTTGTACAGAGCACCTGCCAATGTGTTTATTGTAGATGCCACAGGCTGCAAACAGTACCATTCCATTTAGTAACTTTATGATTTTACCATCTTTGTTGAAATAAGGCTTCATTAGCCACACTGTCCATTTATTAAACAACCTCCTTGTTAATTTCATGTGTATAGCTAGTCCATACAAATGCTCATATTTTTTACTTCCATAAATAATACCATAAAATCTGGACATATAATCAGATGTACGATGGAAAATGAACTAGGACAATATCACAAGGGGAATGTATATAAGATGCATACCTTACGCAACGTGTAAAAAGATTCAAGATATTTGCACAAGGCAGATGCATCATTTAGATCGCGCAGAGGTCTAAGAAGATCCCGCAGTAAAACAATATCTGATAAAGCTACAGTCATTCCTCCTCCCGTTAAAGGATGCCGCATGTTAAATGCATCCCCCATCAATAGGGCACCAGGAGTGGGACATGGAGCAGCTGGCATAGTTCTATTGAGCATTGTTCTTATGTTTCCTTTGTCAATTGCTGATATAAAGGCACTATATAGTTGAGGGGGAATCTGAAATACATAAATCCTTTGCTCAGACATTGATATCAACGCACTTTAATCCAGGGATGAGAGGAACAAATGAAAGAATTAATGGTAAACAAAATACAGAAGACGATTGAAGAGTGAACATGATCATTATGTGAATTAAAGTCATTCCCAAATCACCAAAAGTTATTTGAAATAAATGAAATTTGATGGCTTCATGAAAACCTAAAATTCAAGTTTTCAAGCAAACGTATCCATTGTAAAACAAGATAGGAATAAGGTAGAATGGGTTAAATTTCCTTTGATGCCCCGGAATCCTTGATGAAGAATAAACGCGCATCATGGTCAAAGCAAAACAAGAGGTAAGTTAATAGATTGAGCAAATTATAGATACCTGGGGAGCCACCTTAGTTTTCAAATGATGAGCCATTTCACCATTAGAAATGGAAGGTACCTTCTGTCCGGGTACATCAACTAAACAGCGAATCTCGGTGCTACTAATAGGATAAAACAAGATGGGGGAAGGGTCTGCTAGAATAACATGCCCATGATTTGCATATGGAAGTTGACAATTCTCCAAGACCAAACCAACAAAACAAGAGGGCACATCAACCTGTAGAATGTAACACCATTATGTTCGTCTCATACAAAAAAAGGAAAACGGAACACTATGCATGCTTAAAAATTTGCAGCAGAATATATGGTTCAGACAAATTTGAATGACTTCCATATAAGCAACAACAGAACATAGTAATAGCTTATCCAATAAATTCTATTTCATAGGGCTGACTAGAGTGAGTAAACAAATCATGTTGTTGTGAGAAGATCAAGATGGCAGCTTCACCTTTGGTTTGCAAAGAGAGCGCCGCAAATTTGAAAAACAACCATCACAAACAATTGTTAGAGGAGCATGTGCGGTCATTTCCTGACCGGTCTTAGTCTTGTATTGCACCCCTTTGATGGTCCCATCGTCTTCAAGCAGAGATGTCACTGTGCCTTGCTCTAGTCTTACACTGAACACAAAATAAAAAACAGGAACATGAATTAGCTTTTCCATTAGCTCGTATTATGTGCCTAAGGAATCAAACAAAGCAAGGAACAGGTTCACGCAACATTCGCTTCCAACATTGAAAAGAGGCAGCCTCATGTCAATATCAAGTGCTTGCTTTATTGTACCGGTAAGCCCTGCCTCTCAATGCAATAGCTTTGGAGTCCTATTTTTTAATTTTTTATTTTTTAAAGCTAAATGAAATTCACAGTTAATTTAGAGATAGTGGCAAGCCAAAGAGAAATTGTACCAGTGAGCTACTAAGAAGTGAAAGTGTTGAAGCTTTAAATGTACATAATTCCCTAAAACAAAATCAATGTGTGAAGCAGGATACCAATAGATTAAACAAAATAACTTTTTTTGACCAAACACACTGGCAATACTTGACAGCCAGAACTTGCAGTATTTTAAAGAAGATTGGAGTACTAAAGCTTGGATAAGGTTTGCGTGGAACTCCAAATTTATCAGAAACATAGAATACGTAGTTATAGACTTATGGCCTATTGTTGGACGGATATAATACAATTAATTTAGTGAAAGGAGCATCCTTGAAGGGGAAGAGAAGATACTTGGAAAGAGTAGCAGCTTTTTCCCTCATCCGTCGTATGAAACGCCCGTGGTGAAAGCTTCTCCCAGCCACATCTGAATGAAATTTTTCCAAGGGGTATGACATTCTAGTATTTTCTCCGTCCTTGAAAAGAGCATATCCATACACTCGTTGAGCATCAATTTCATTCACAGAGTCTGCAGCAATATACATGACTTTGTGTATCAAACCAATGTATAATTCGAAGAGAAGGAGTAAGCTAATAAATTCATATATGATATCAACTAGTTTGGTATGAAATTGAAACTATATGTAACAAATTAACTACAGTAGTTCAAATATTTCACTTCATAAAGTTGCCATTATCAAATATAAGGTTCATTTCACAACAGTTTTCTTACCCTCAAGACCCAACTCAATTAGTTTCAGATAACCCCCGGGCTGTAGCAATTCACCAACAATCCTGTCAGGTTCTGTCAAGTCTTTCTCAATCACATGCACGCGGCGTCCATCCTTAAACATTTAATAGAAGGAAAAGTTACATATTACAAAGAGAAAATCAACAGGGCAAAAATGAAATAGACCATAATCAGAACAAGGCTGATCATAATGCTTTCCTAGCTTTGATTCCACCCATCTTCTGGGATTACATTTAGAACTGATGGTCATATATACCAGATACTGTGAATGTTTACTCGCCCCTAAATGGTCAACTACTTAGAAAAAATTTAATGACAACAACAAAAGCTAGAGAGAGATTCCCTTCCCGAGATAATTCACATGTTAAAGCTTTCAAAATTAATCACCACCCAAAATAAAGCCATTTATGAAAGATTTAAATTATGGTTATGAGATTGACTACAACTCGAATGTATGTGCAGTTGATCCATATTTAAGGGTTTGAATTCAGACTAATTGAATAAAAGGACTACGCCAGCAATAAAAGTGGAATAATAATAATGGGCGCTGGATATCCTAAAATGCTAAAACTTAGGGCAAATGAATTGTGCAAGTCTTTAGACAGTTTCCATTACAGTTCAATGAATTTATGAGAACATAATAGAACCTAAAAAGGGGCACTGTTGGTAATGGGTAGTGTGGAGCCCAACTTCTTAGCCCAACTTGGCGGAAAGTTTGATGGGGTTTGTGGGAGGCAACGCCCCCTTGCCCGAAGGTGGGGGTTCGGGGCTTGCCCCCAACCCGAAATTTTTGGGGAGTATCTTTGTATATTCTGCATTTGTTATGTTGTCCTAGCACACCCTTTTTGTGAAGACAGTGAAATCCTTGCAACCAGTGAACATAACTCTAGTTTTTTGGCGAACCAAGTAAAGTCTGTCTATTTTTTTGTGTGTTTGATCTATTTTCTAAATTTCACAACAGTTAGAACCCCAGCAATTAATAATTATACTATCAAATTTCGCACATACAACAATTGAGAACCTTAAAATGAACAACTCATTATGCATTTTTATATAATCATAAAATCTTTAACAACAATTGCCATATTCATCCATCAAAAATGAGAATGCAACTCATATAATATGCACATATTAGCACATATACATACATGATTGAGCCACCCACCTAAAATCTTGATAAATCCAACACTAAATTTCAAAATTCAGTTAAGTAGAGAGAGAGAGAGAGAGAGAGTTACTTTGGCAAGCGAATAAGCGAGAGCAGAACCAACAACGCCGGCGCCGACAACGATGACATCGGTTCTTGCAGTGTCCTCCGGCCGACATTCACCATTTTCAGAGTGGTAGATGCGTTCGTCATGTCGTTGAAAATTCATTGAAGCTCTCTTGTTCTTTCTCTTTCGTTGTAAAATGTAAAGCAGAACAAAGCCAACTAAAGAAGCAATGGCCAATTCCAAAACATACTGATCAATCATCTTCATTGATCCTTGTTTCTCTTGCGAGTTCACAATGGCCGAGTGAATGTTTCAACTTGAATGGCGCATTTTATAGACATCACCACTCTCTCTCTCTTGGCCAAAAAAATAAAATGGTAATGTGACAATTTAGTGTGGTACAAATATTCATCAATGCCCGCTGTGTATTTTTTATTATTTTTGAAAGAGTCAATTTTCAACCAACTTCATTTACATAAAAAATAATAAAAATTAAGGTTGACTTGTTACCCATTTTTCACAAAATAAGTGATAAAAATAAATAACAATGAAAATTATTTTACACAATTGCGTCTACAAAGATTTGAACTCCTGACCTCTCTTTGAGAGGTAAGAATTCAAAACCAATAGACCACAAGCTCGTTGATTTTTTTATTCCGTATATTCAAAATAAACAATTTTAATATTGAATAATAAACGTTTATTTATTAACTGAATATATTTTTTGACTCATGTTTTGATTCCTAGTAAACGCAATTCAACCTAATTCTTGAGAATTTGTATTGGGTATAATTAATTTCTTATTATGTAAGCATGATTCAGAATAATTTATATGTAGAGTTTTAATTCAGTGAGGATCAACCACATAAAAAAAAACAATAAAAAAAAAAAAAAACATGATAACAGAGTAATTACAACATTTAATAAGCCTTGAAAAAAAAAAAAAATAGTTAAGCACTATTGATTCACTATATTTTTCAAAATTAATAGTTTCTTCTGATTTTATAATACTTGTAACTATCATTTTTTTTTTTTTTTCTAGGAAAAATTACACTCGCTGCCCTTCACTGATATACTCTTAATGTTATCTGCAGAAGGCAATTTTGAAAATTATCTTTATAAAATTTGTATGTTTGAATAATTAATTGTTTAGTCAAAAGATTGCGCTGGAGAAAATAATCATTTTAGAATTGGATTGGTCAATATAATTTGGTCCTTTGGGGCATAAAACAAGACAAAAAGAAAACCATGGGAAAGAAACTGGGGGTGATAAACAAATTAGAAAACAAGTTTCATATAAATAGTCATAAATTACAGAATAAGTGCATTAGTGGTGGCTTGAACACTTTGAAGAAGGTAAGGTCAAGTCAACGTTTGGAAATACATTATAATCAATTCTTTACCTAAGTAGTTATATAAATTTATACCAAATTAATTGTGGTGTTTCATACTTTTTTAATATTTTATTTTATTTTATAAATAGTTTTACAAACACTTATTTATATTTGGCCCATATCAAATTTGAATAGGTAATCTCTAAAAATATAGTGGTCCATGAATTTACCGGGTGTTGTGAAACTTATAATGCCTATCAATATGGTAATGGGAGGAGTTTATTAATATAATCTACAACAAAAACCTCTTTTCAGGTGTACATGTCATATAGTATTGGTGACTTATTAACAAAAAAAAAATAATAAAAAAAAATTTGCTTAATCATACTATTAATAAGTTGATTATTTGGGCTTAACATATATTAAAATAATCATCAATAAACATACTTTCAAGGTTTTCAAAAACAGGGGAAGCAAACCAGAGGCAGTGAAAGGTTGAATTGACAAATGGACAAAAGAAAGAAAAACAATCCCCAAATTAAGACACTAGTAAACAAATCATTGAACAACTGTATAGTTGACATTAGGTGAGCTTGTGTCAAGTAAGCACTTGGTCAAAAAAAAATCAGATTGGTTGAAGTTCTTTTTATTTTTTATTTTTTTCATTTGCCTATTGTTCCATACTACTTTGGTCCTGGTCCTTAAACCAGACCACATTGAACAATATATATTCAGTCTTTTTTTTCACTCATTCACTCTGTTTTTCCCGAGCTACGGGTACATGAGCAAGACGGCTCACTTTTTGCCTATTAAGACAACAGACGACGCAGATTACATAAACTCTTCTCTCCCTACAAAATTTACTATTTCAGCCCCATACTTCTTTTTTTCTCACTCTACCCAAATTCTTCTCTATTTATATAGTATCCAAACGCAATTCTTTGTTAGACAAAAATTTCACAATTTATCACACAACTCTAAAAGTTTCTTCTGATTTTTCAAAATTAATAGTTTCTTCTGATTTTATTATACTTGTAACTATCATTGTTTTTTTTTTTTTTTTTTTTTTCTAGAAAAAATTACACTTACTGCCCTTCACTGATATACTCTTAATGTTATCTGCAGAAGGCAATTTTTGAAAATTATCTTTTTAAAATTTTTATGTTTGAATAATTAATTGTTTAGGTTTCTTCAAATGAGTATTAGATTTTTTCCCATTTTCATCCACAATGTTTATTTTAAATATATTTTTGGATAAATTACACTAATCTCCCCAGAGGTTTCTTAAATATACACTAACATTTTTCTTGTTTCCCAAATTACACTTATTTCCCTTGAGATTTGTGTGTAAAATAATTGTTGGGTAGGCTGAAATAAATAAAGCAGAAACAATTTTTCAAAATAATTTTTGTTGAGCGGAACAAGATCAACTTAATTAGCTTTAACGAATCATTAATATTCTTCGATTACCCTAAAGGGCTAGATCACTTTACCTCTTAGACAATTGAATAATAAGATGGTGTACATTCATCTAACAATTAGATTATTTTTAGTGGCATGTCAACAATTTTGTAACTTTCAAATTGCAATTTTACACGTGGAAGACATATTTATTGCAATAAAATACAATATGTATAAGGATAAAAATATAATTATAAACCCAACAAGTCTAACATAAGAGGTCAGAACAAACAAGAGGGGTTAGTGTATATTGACCAAACCTCATACAAGATCAGAGCATATATATATATTTTTTTCCCTAAATAATCAGAGCCTATATTTACCCTGTAAATATATATTTTTCCATATCCAGTCACTCTTTTGATAAGTTTGGTTTTTCAACACGTGGTTGAATCAACATGTAAACTTTTGGTGTGTATATACATATATTTTTTTCATTATTTGATTAAATGAAAGTCCATGTTAATGGTTTGATGATGCGTAATCCTTTACTGAATTTGTGTCACCTTATTCGCTTCGAGGTACTGCATTTGTGTTCCCTTTTATGATTTTCTCATTTTCCACTATGATTTATTAATTTTTAATTGATTGCCCAATGAACATGTTGCCAAATGGTGTTGTGTTGGGCATATAGTAGTACGTAGGGTGAAAAAAAATAAAAAAATAAAAAAATTACTTGACTATTATTCTTTTGCAAATAATTTCTCTGAATTACAAATTGTTTTCTTAAATTATAATTTTGTTATAATTAAAGACCAATTTATCACAAAAAATTATTTTACCCTTCTCATTAAATTTTTCGTCTTATTAAATTACTTGTATTATTTTTTCTTTCATCTAACATTAATTATATTATTTACCTTGATTTTATTATTAGTAACTACTGTATTTATCATAAAAATGGAAAAAATATTTGTAAGTTTAACTTATTATTAAAGCTTTACTATTTATCATAAAACTTATTATATTCCGATTAAACCTTTTTGCTGTAAAAAATTAATTAAAAAAATCCTTATTTTTCATACATGATATTCATACAAAATTACTTAAATAAAAGATACCTTTTTTTTCATTCAATATATTCATGAAAAATTAAGAAATTACTTAAATTGTTTTAAAATTGTCTACTTAAGATTTTTATTTAAATAATTTATTTTAAAAGTTAATGATAATTTTTTGCAAATTTAATGAAGAATATATCATCAAAACTAATATATTTTTTTTATATATATAATTTATTTCAATAAGAAAAATAGATTAAATACAATTCATTAAGAAAATGTATTATGGTCATTTAATAAAAAAAAATAGTCTAGACATTTGGCATTTCATAACAAAATGTGATAGTTCATGAGAAATGTATAAAATATACTTAAAGGGGTTATTTGCAAATTCGGATGTAAATCACGTTTTTTTTCTTTCACTTTGCCCTATTATATATTGGCATTCTTGTGAATCACACACACACACACACACATATATATTTGCAGAGTAGGGAAAGGAAATTCTAACATTGACACAGTCAGTTCAAAAGTTATGGCTTTAGTAACTAGACCATCGAATGATACCCAATTGGCAGTTATTCATTTAGTTCAATGGACAATGAAAGAAACCCTAACAACTACAATTAAAGAGAGGGTTAATTTAAGTGACAAGCCTTAAAGTTTGGCCAAATATCACATTAAAATACTTTTTGAATTTTTTTTCCCTAAATAAATACATTTCGAAAATTATTATTACTTAGATCCAATTTTACTTTTGACACCATTAAAAAGATGCGAAATATTATATACACCCTCATTTTTTTAATATATTTTAATCCAAAATATCATAAAATCAAAATGTAAAAAGTACCCCTAATTAATGTCTATCTCCAAACCGTCTTTTTTTCTTACTTCACCCACCCGCCACCAAAGATGATGGGCTTTAAAAGATGACGGGCTTCAACAAATCAATTCAATTTTTAGGTAGATTTATGTTGTTGTGTCTCATTTATTTTTTTGCCAATTCACCATATATATAAATTTTGTATCTCTATAATGCATGGGTCATGTGGCATCATGTTGAGCAACTGGCGTGAAGCATATTAGTTAATTATGGTAGTAATTATGGAAGTCAAAAGATTAGAATCCATGCGTTTTGGTGAGATTTTCAAGTTTGAAAAAAAATTCTTTGTTGCAATAAAGTCATTATTTCTTTACATTCTACTTGAGTTTTGTTAATTATTTTTAAGTATTTTACCTTCAGTCATCCCAAATATGAGAATAGAAAATAGATAGACACATATTGGATACTATAAAGATAAGCTAGTGGTATTTGTAAAAATGGAAGTGTGAGATTAGGCTCGGTTTGTTTCGATGTAAAATATTTTTTTAGTAAAATATTTTCTTTTTTTAGATAAAATATTATTTTATTTTTACTTTTTTGATATTTGACAAAGATTTAAGGCAATGTTAAGATTGAGTT